TCACACACACACACACACACACACACACACACACACACACGCACACACACACACACACACACACACACACACATACACTCACTCACTCACTCACTAATATACACATACATTATGGATTGCTCATGGACAGAGCTTAAAATAAGAGAATAAAAGAATGGGGGAGATGAATTACATTGGACACTACGTGAGACAGAATGAAGCGAGACAAGAATACCTTAAAGAAAATGACAGTCGTGAGAAACACTAGGCGAAAGGATACTACAAATAACAACGAGTCCAAATTTAGCAAGATCTGCAAGAGAATATCTATGAAAATGGCGACCACAGACACTTTGGAGCCCTCCCCCATCCCACTTCCCCCACCCTTTTCCTTTCTTTTCGTTGGAATATTGGCGCCTGCTAAAACGTGTCCTGCCTGCCATACCCAAGGTAAAGCCTCTGAGGGTACATAAACCGCGATATCCCGACAGCCAGACAAGTAAACATTCTCGAGCAAAGCGCAAACATATTATTATTATCATTATTTGTTTCATGTGTTGCATTCAGATTTTCGTCTTTTATTGCATCTTAATTTGTACATACTTGTTTAATTGGCAGAAAATGCTAACGCTACTTTGTACCATATCTTTATCGTCAGGAATTTTGTGGGCACTTTGTGCATTTATATCTTTTGGTGATTTTTGTAAATTTTTCTTCAAATTCAAATGTTGCTTGATATCAATACTAAGTGGTTTCTTACATGGATATCTTACAAAAACCAAGCCGTTGTCCCTTGACCATTACAAAAAATATAACAACAGCACAAGTAAAACATAATTTTTTTTGCCTATCAAGTGTCTGAGGGGTCTTTAAATTGATGTATCGTCAGCCTCTTCTTACATAGCCTTTCTTTGTTGGAAAAAAAAATCTAAACCAATACCACGCTACGTCATCTCGTATATCTCATCTCTTTGTAAACTATTATTTTTTGCTTATCAAGCTCACATCTTTGAAAGAAACAAAACGTTTTGTAAATATTTTATGTTTTCAAGCTGTTACTGTTACACAAGGTTGTGAAAGTGTAGTTCCCCTTGGCACTTTGATATTCTACTATTACAAAATTGTGCAAAGGAACGTTCCGTATCATGTAATAAAAGGTCATTGAATTATGAATTGTCCGATTTTTTTTCATAATCTGAGATCACGTGTCAATTTATTCTGAAAGTTGTTCTTCTGTTTCAGAAGACGAAACACACTTGTCTGTGCGGGT